GGAGGGAGGGAGGGAGGGAGGGAGGGAGGAAGAAAATTAATTGATGCTTCCTGATGGACAGGTTCTTTGGCTACGTTGCTCCGTTAATTTTCTTTTAAAGCCTCATTTTAATGGAAGAACTTCAGCACCCAGTTCAAGCCATTCCACACTGCAGTGCTTCATGGTCTAAAAGCGCAAAAGGAGCTGACGGATAATGTCCGATCATCTCTATCGACTCTCAGTGACCACCCAGGCCTCCTCCAGGATGACCCAGTGAGCTAAAATCTCCTAAATTGCCCACTGAACCAGTGAGGAATGGCGCCTCCCCCATCAGGGGCAGCATACCGAAAGGAAGGCAACTGTCCCGCAAAATCTCATCCTGGGAGGGAGACATCAACCTAGATTGGCTCATGATCCCAGGTATTATCTTGATAAACAGCTAAAAAGTGGGGGAAAGCCTCCATGTTTAGGGATAGTCTACCTCGAATGCTGAGCTCAAGCAGCACAAGTCAGCTAGCGCTTCCAAGTCCCAACTTCGGGGTCTGATCTACAAAAGCCTCACCTCCGTTTCATTGCTTCTTCGCTTCCATGTTCAACCTACCGGCCCCGAAGAGTCTCTAAGAGTGGACATTTTCCACAAAAAGGAGTCGAGATTTGCACCCTGGACTTCTGGTTTTCCTCTGCCGGCTTTTAATCACAACCCTTTCAGCCGAAGAAGTGGGATCCCGTGGAAGCAAGTGGACGGTGCAGGAGAAGACAGGTCTCCTCCCCACCTATGCCTCGGTTTCCCTACCGTACGGCATGACTCACGGTCCTAAGCACGCCCGTTTTGCAAAGAATCCGTTGCCGTATTTTTTCCCCCATTCTGCCATCCCAAAATAACTTTTTCCCGATTCTGCCATCCTGAACTAATGTTTTTTCTCCCGATCTGTAATCCTGAAATAAGGCTTTCTCCATTCTGCCATTCTAAAATCATTTTTCCACATTCTGCCACCCTGAAACACCTTCTTTCTGCATTCTGCCACCCGGAAATAATTTTCCCCCCGTTCTGCCAACCTGAAATAGCCTTTCCCCCTCCTTCCTGGCACCGTCACAGGGTGGCACGCGGCTCCCACCTGTCGAATGCCAACCTCACGTCTTGGAAAAATGTTGGCACCCTGCAGAGAAGATGGAGCAGGAAGAATGCCAACCGAGACGCTGCAGAATTTTACGACTCGCCAAGTGTGGGAGCTGGAAGGCCTCGCCTGCTCTGCCAGAGAGGCAGCAAGTGCGAAAACATCCTTCAAATGTCAATTAATACCTGGATGTCATTGAAGGGAGGCGGAGACAGAAGTCTTAAAACGTGTGAGAATTCTTATTAGGGAGGTTGGATGTGTGCCCGCGTATCTCTTTGAAGCCCAACAGGATGACCAAGATTTTCCACCCCAAAGATGACAGCCCAGCGATTCCTTGGATGCCGCAGGGCGATAGACTACCTCTGATCGTGGAGGCTCCATTGCTGAAGGACAGATGGAACCCAGGGGAGAGGCGGATGGATCCAAGGGGAGGTTTTCGCTTTGGGGGGGAGGGAGGGGCTATCAGGGGCCTTCAGGAACCCCCAAAATCATGCATGCTGGCTGGGGAATTCTGGGAGTTGCAGTCCATCCCTCTGAAAGCATGCTGGCTGGGGGATTCTGGGAGTTGCAGTCCACCCTTCTTAAAGGGACCAAGTCTGAGAAACGCTGAACATCCTAGCCAACCGATCCTGTTCCGCCGTGAGAAATTTGGACTGTGGACTCTCCAACGGATCCTGCTTCCATTCCCAGGACGCTCCTTGAAATAAGTTGGCTAACCTTTCAAACTATCTGAAACTGGCATCTGCGGTTCCTTTTTCTTTTTCCAGCTGAACCCCCCCCCCCCATTTGGACTGGAACAGTTTGCTGAAACAGGAGCATGGGCTTCGGTGTTCCCTAAGGCTGAGAAGCCAATGGATGAACCAAACGAAGACCAGGCAGTGATTCATGCCCGGCATCTGCTAAGTCTATTGCAATTTCTCCTGTGTGGACCTGCCCTGGAAGATGCCCAGTATTTGTGGCTGGTACACAGTGTACTCATTCAGCTAACCCTCAAGCCGCACCAACTTTGCTTTTGTTTTTTTTTAATTACCCCCAGATTTTTAAAATGAGTTTTGCAACCTGGGGGCAAGCAGTATTTCCCCCCCGTCTTCAGCATCAGAGGGTCAGGCCCTAGACCCAGAGGTCGGCGCTGAGTTTCCTGCTCCAAATCCAGCTGGCAGAGCTCAAAAAGGAGCTTCAAAAGAAGGGAAGGGAAGCATTTTCGACGACTGAACCAAATGAAGGGTAAGGTTGGCATTCTTCCTGCTCCGTCTTCCCTGCAGGGTGCCAACCTTTTTCCAAGACGTGAGATTGGCATTTGACAGGTGGGAGCAGCGTGCCACCCTGTGACGATGCCCGGAAAGAGGGGGAAAGGCTATTTCAGGTTGGCAGAATGGGGGGGAAATTATTCCAGGAGGGCAGAATGCGGAAAAGGTGAACACAATGGTGTATTACGTGGCTTGGACTTGATCTTTTGGTTACACAGGATGAATTAATTGTTGCCTCTTTCGACGCCCAGCTTGTGTCAGAAGCCGCCCCAATTACGGTGCCTTAACAAGAATAAAACTTGCTACCGTATTTGTAGCGAGTCATGAAAACGAGGGTAATGTCTGTTTCAAACCTGAGGGCAAATCTCATTCATGTCCAAAATGATTTTTCCTGTTTTTCCGTCTCCTTCTGGAAAATGGGTTGGGGCGGGGGGTGGAAAATCTGGAGCAATATTTCTCCCTAAAGACAGGCATCTTTCCAACGACTCCAGCTTGGGATCCAAAGCAGCCAAAGTGAAAAATGAAAAAAAAGCAAGCTTTTCTTGCCTTTATCTTAACCCACTCAACTTGGGCACTCAAAAACTTCCCAATCTATTTCTTGCTCCCTGTCTTTATAGATGTCGTCGGCTGGTTCGTTCTCCATCTTCTATGCTGAGATCTTATCCTTCTCCTGCAACCAATTCATACCTCGAGTCAATCCTACACAACCCCCCTGCGAGGTAGGCTGGGCTGAAAAGTCACACCGCTTTTCCAACGGAAGCTCGGCTTTCACACCCAAATGCTTCCTAACGCACGGAACAACTTCAGCTCTAGCACACCCCGCTGCTCAACCGGGTGCCGTTCGCTGATGCTGTACAATAGGGTCTCCCGTAGTTCCCCTGGCTGGGATTATGGGAGATGTAGTCCAACATAACTGGACTGCACTCAGAGGAAGCGGAGTTTAAGCCAGTTTAGCTGGATCTGGAAAGATGATCAAAGACATAAGTTATGCTAATAATCCTTCTACGGATACATTTTTATGCGTCATCCGTGATTGAATGAGATAGCTTGCTCAGGGCTAATGTTTTATTCTTGTTTCTTCTCCCGTAAAAAAAGTAAAAACGGGTCGGGAAGAACAGTCATATCATGGTCAACACAGGCTTTGCTTGGACGTACTACAGCAAGCTCAAAAGGGTTTTAAAAAATGTCTGGGCCTATCCAAAAACTCAGCACAGGCTTTGCTTGGACGTTGTACAGCAGGAAAACGTCCGGGCCTATCCAAAAACATCGGGGACGATCTGGACCCCTTTGCACCCACCAAACCAGCTTTGAAAGATGCTTCCCGCGGGTCTCTCAAAGAGGTCCAGTCGATCTGTGGCTTAGGACCCGCCCAAGATGCGCACACTTGATGAGAAGTGGGAAAAGATCCAGCCGATAAGTCACACCGCGTATATCCCATTTTCCAACCTGGGGATAAACGGCAGCCTCCTTTTTGGTCCTGCGAATGAGGATCTACCCACGCACGTATCGTGTTCCTCCCCCGTGAAACCTTCCCTCGCACGCCACCACACCCCACCACACCCCAGTTAGGAAAATAGCAAAAATGCGATGCATTTCCAAAAATGCTTGGAAAAACCCTCCCTGCTGACACAGTTCCCAGTTGCTACTTCAAAGAACAGGCAGAACAACAAGAGGATGTGGAATGCGATTTTTTGCACCAAGAAAAGTATTATTTCTAAATCACAAGAGGTCGCGGATCCCCTCCGGGCTGGGCTCGCCAAACTCCAACTGCAGGGCGTCCGTTCTGCACAGCCCCGTCTGCAAACGGATTTGAAAGCTCCACGGAGCGAAGGATATTCTGGATGATGGTCATAGAGAGGAAGCCAAGTTGGTTTGATTGAGGGAGCTGGGCTGGAGATGTGGGGGGAGGGGCACCAAGACCCCCTTCAAGTACCTAGAAGGGGCTGTATGCAAATGAAACAAAACATCTACACCCTATTTTAATTCTCCCTTGCGCAGCACCCGTGATCTGAATTGGAGAAAAGCAGATCTTAGTGGATTAGAATAAGCAAAGGGTCGGTATTAAGCTGTGGAATAAAGGGGGGGGGATTGAAGATGGACACCGTAAACGTGGGAGAAAGATGGTCCTACGTGCTTAATTGCAAACACCGACTATGGAGAAGCTAGGAATCTGGAACGGGATGGGCTCAGCAAGGTTCAACTCAACGAGATGAAATTCCTAACTTGGCTTGGAGAGAAGCAGCCTCTGCGGCTGGTAAGCCAGGATTTGTGGCTTAATCAGGCGCGCTTCATAGCTTGGCCAACAGTCTTGCCAGGAAAAGCATCATGATACCAGAAAATTGGGGGGAACACCTTGGTTTCGGTTCATGGGAACCATGCCCGTTTAAAAAAAGAAAATTGGCAGTCATTCCAGCCCACTTGGTCTGGTTCACCCCAACAGCCCAGCGACCATCAAAACTCTGCTTCGTCCCTCATTAGAAAGGTCTGTCTCCCAGTGCGGGGACAATGAACATAACCCATTGGGCTGAGCCAATCTCTCCGCTCCCACAAGGGCTAGCAAACTCTCCGGGCGGCTTGGCCTTTTTGTCCTCCCAGCCGGCCCCCAGTCTGGTTCTCCTTCCTCACTGGCGCCGCCATAGATAAGTCTGGATGGAATTGGCCGGGATTTCTGTTAAAATCAGACCAAGGGAGTCGGAAATGCCAAAGGAGATGTTGTACAAAGACCTGTGGAGAAAGGAGGTGGAGAAGAAGGGAAGGAAGAAGAGATGGAGAAGAAGAGGAAAAAGAGGAAAGGAGAGGAAAAGGAGACAGGAGAGAAGCGGAAACATGGTTACAAAACTTTGGGTAAATGGAGCCACAACTCCAACTGTTTCCTTTTACTTCCAACATATTTATCAAAACATTTCCCAGCTGGTAAACTACAAGGTTTCTAAAGAGGACTTTCTAAAATACAGATATAAAACAGTAAAAGCAGTCAGACAGCAATTGAAATTCCCTTTAAAAAGCTGGGCTAGGGTCTCCGGAGGAAGGTGAGGTTAACATCGGGGAAGGGACTGCGTTCCAAAGCTTGCAACAAACCGTCATGGTCTCCCCCGCAAACTGCCTTGAACAAGTCCAACCTTTCAGGGGCTTTAAGAAGATCTCTCACTGCCTGGCTTTGAAAGTGAGCCGGTGAGGCTTTTAGTTTGAAAAACTAAAGCCAGGCTCAGACCACCGAAAGGGGTGAACATTTTTTGCTGCCCATCTGCAAAAGCACATCTGCAGGGGAGCAAAAAGTCAACGTGGCTGAATCGAGATCAGGCTAACTTTGTGTCACGAAGCTTGGGTAGCAGGCTTTGGGGGGGGGTGTTTGAAAAATCAAAAAAATGCCTTCATGAGAACTAGAAACTTGGCTCCTGAAAGCTTCGGCTAAATACACATTTGGAATACGTGACACTCACCGGTTAAGGACAACCACCACCGCGGATCCATCGGGGCGAAGCATGGCGACGTGCTCCAGGTTGCAATTAAAGGATCTTTGAGTAACTGTCAGCCCAACACGCTGAGAACCTTCAAGAATGAATTTGCTAAGAAGGGAGAAAAAGAAGGAGATGGTAAAGGGATCTCCCTGGGTAGAAGGCAGCAAGGATCCACCCTGGTTTAGCAACACTGGAGCACAAATTGGGGGAACGTGGTTCCTTGAAAAGCTCTGTCTTAAGACAGTACTGGAACACTCCCCTCTACTCTTTCCCAAAGCAACGATCCTGTAGGGTAGGTTGGTAAGTTGGTAAGGTTAGTAGGTTGACTTTAAGATTAGTACGTTGAGCTTAAGGTTGGTAGGTTGAGTTTAAGGTTGGTAGGTTGAGCTTAAGGTTAGTAGGTTGACTTTAAGATTAGTAGCTTGAGTTTAGGATTGGTAGGTTGAGTTTAAGGTTGGTAGGTTGAGTTTAAGGTTGGTAGGTTGAGTTTAAGATTAGTAGATTGACTTTAAGATTAGTAGCTTGAGTTTAGGATTGGTAGGTTGAGTTTAAGGTTGGTAGGTTGAGTTTAAGATTAGTAGATTGACTTTAAGA